GTGAGAGTTCACGGATCAAAGTTATTAATGTCATCTGGCCGTCATCCAGAGACCAACGGTAAGACAAAACAGATGAACAAGATCCTACAGCAGGTTCTGCGCATGTACATTAGACCTGACCAGATCAACTGGGATGAGATGTTGCCTAAGGTAGCTAGTGCATACAATAACAGTGTGCATCTATCCATCTGCCGCACTCCCAATGAGCTGCATAAGTCCTTTAGACCACGCATACCGTTCGAAGGACTGAACCGGGATCAGATTCACAGGCTACCGCCCAGAACGAGGGAGTTCGCAATACAGCATGAGAAAGAGCTAGCAACTGTTGTTGAAAACCTCAGGAAGGACCAGCATAGAATGATAGAACAGGCCAATAAGCACCGTTGCCCATCATAGTTTCAGGTAGGTGACTTAGTCTGGGTCAAGTCTAAAGAGGTTGCACCTGAGGAAAACATCTCACAGAAGTTGTTGTCTCTATATAGAGGACCATGGCCGGTTTTAGAAGTGAAGGGCGGAGAGGATGACCGTCCTACACAATAGAGATTCCAGCACACCCCCACACATACCCTGTGTTCCATGCTTCAAAGTCGTTGTCGTGTGTCACAAGTCAACAGTTCCTTTCAAGAAGATCCATGATCCCCCCGGATATGGACGAAAGTTATGACATTGACGGCATTGTAGATGAGGATGTGTTCAGAACAGGAGGTAGAGGTCGTCCCCAGAAACAGTATAAGGTCCGGTTTGCTTACCAGGAGCAGAAAGACAACCGCTGGTTTACAAGGACAAAACTTCTAGAAACAGCTCCCGACATAGTCAGAGCCTATGAGCGCGATAAGAAGGGTAAAGGTCCTGCCTTGGACTGAAATATTCTCGGAGGACCTCGAATTTAGGACGGCGGGAGTGAAACGGTTTTCACCTCTTTGTAGTGGCAGACGCAGATCCCAGGGTTCGATCCCTAGACCTTGCCCTACCTGTGTACAGTATCTGTGTAGACCCCGAGAGTTGAACCTGTGACCTGTGTGTTCGCAAACAGTTGAAAGGCTGTCATAGGTCCGTAGGTAGCAGAGGGGTTCGATCTGTAGATCTGTAGGATAGAAGTCTTAGCGAGTTCTAGAAGTCTTAGTTGTAGCCTGTAGTCCTTCTAGAAGGTCAGCAAGTGGGCAAGTGGGCAAGTGGTGAGTCAAGTGGTGGACTAAACTACAGTGCAATTGCAGTATGATCTCGGTAGGTTAGCAGTGAGTCCCCACTCAGTCAGCGGTAAGGTCCAGTCAGGCCCAGTCCGGTCCAGCAAGTACCACAAGGGACTATGAGCACCATGGGCCGATGGAAGAGGGCAGACCAACGAGTTTCAGAAGTATAAATCAAGAGGCAGCGCCCAGCCTTTCATTCATTCCTGCGTGAGCCATGCGGAAGCGCTGCCACAGCGACTTGTGCAAGGAGGTCTGCAGAGAGCCCGGAGCTGAAGCGGGCGAGAGGAGGAGCGTAGCATAGCGATAGGGTAGGGGCAGCCATAGCTGCCATAGCTGTAGTTTAGTGTAAGTGTGTGAGTGTATGTGCGAGTGTTCAGAAAGACGCGTGTGGGATATCCAGGGTGATCCGGTGTATGTGAACAGTGAGTTGTTTGGGCGCTGAGTCGCCATATCCAGTTGAAAGTGAACTCGTATCTGGATGCTATATCTCTGAGTTTTGAGTGGGCGCATGTCGCCAGTGTGCTGCACTACTGTTTACATGCATGAAAAGTGTGAATGAGAACGAGTCTGATTGCACTGCAGTCACTTCAAACGAAGTGTTTAGTGATTGACAGCAGAAGTTGGTGCTATGACCGTTGGTGTCATGCCTCTCATCTCCTTTACTTTGTGTCGTTTTATCTTATTTTATTAATTTCTGAATTACAAATTATTAAAATGCAGGATTTTGAAAGTCATTTGAGTCCCTCGTTTAGAACACGGGGATAGCTTATAAGAGGTGAGAGTGGCCCTACTGACTATTGGCCAGTAGTTGAGCAAGGGAGGCCTCGCTGCGTTGATGCAGGTGGTCTGGGGTGAGCCAGCGATAGGCAGTCTGCGTGCTTGTACGCCTGTGGCCGGGCTTGGACTGTCCTGAGCAGCAGGGCCGACGTGAAGCAGTCTGTCTGCGTACACGTGTGCAGAGTGTTAAGCCCGGGCCGTTTCAGAAGTTGGTAGCCTGGTGCCCTACACTATTCCTTCAGAGGGGCTTAACTATGGCGCACAGTAACGGGCTGTATGGCTATAGGCCAAGGCATCTCCAGTTCCTTTGGAGGTGGGAGAGGATATCGTGAGATAGCCCTGTGGTGACGGCCATTTTGGACTATAGCCACTGTAACCAGGAAGCAAGACTACAGGTAAACGTAGAGGGGGGAAAAGAGGAAGAAATGAGAGCGGACCAAGGGTTACAAGCGGCCATTACAGAAGCCAGGGAGAGAGAGAGAGAGAGAGAGAGAGAGAGAGAGAGAGAGAGAGAGAGAGAGAGAGAGAGAGAGAGAGAGAGAGAGAGGGACCAGCGAAAAAGAGCAAGTGACGTGCGGGCTCCAGGGTAAGGTCTGCTAATGACTACGTTCTCGGTCGCCTTGGATCGCTGGGACAGTCTGTCCCACGAAATCGTGTACACTCTCTCCAAGGACGAGATCGCTGACTTCTGGACGCATGTGACAGTTCCATTCAAGGACGAGAGAAGGGAGAGGCTCACGGGTCAACGCTTGTCGACGGATCTCTGGAAGAGAGATAAGTAGCTACAAGGACATGGGTAGGCGCGATGAGGAGAGAAAGTGAGAGAGAGTACCTGCAGGGGTCAACTGGGTCACCTCCACAGTGAATGCCGCTTGGTCATCGCAGCCTTTCAGAGTGTGTTGACAAGGACTCTGCAAGTGTGAAGAGGCCAGCGAAGAGGTGTGTACACGTGTGAGTGAGCGGTGTGCATAAGAGAGAGAAGAGAGATTTGCTTGAGGCACTCACTCGTAGTTTTTTTTGTTTATTGACGTCAACTCACCCCTATTGTCCATGTCATTAACTTCAATGTATCACCTGTACCTGTCCTCCATTCCTGGGGACATGCGCCACACGACAACTGACTTTTCATAGCCTGATCTCCATCGTGGGTTGAGCACGTGCTAGTAGAGGACGTCTCCATGACTGAGTCTCAAAGCTAGGTGATGAGAGAGGCTGGCGTGTTTTGAGGAATTGACATTACTAGTGGAGGGCGTGATGGTATGCGCTGGATACAAGCGACGGGCTGGACTTGAAAGAAACCAGCCATACGAAAAGGATGACGTGGCCTCCATAGTGATTGCGGGATACAGTGGGTGTTACCTCTCTTCTCCTAGTCGGGACAGGTTCCTTTCTGTACAGAGTGATCGTTGACGTCAACCTTTCAAGAACGAGTGCGTGACGCAAAGTTCGAGACAATGAGCGGCGGCTACGAGTAATGAGAAAAGACAACTGATACACGCACGAGCTAGTGGCGCAAAAAGGGCACTGGAATCACACTTTCTCCGCTGATTAGACGACATCAATTGGCCTTGGGATCACTGTCCCGGGCAGAACTCGCGGGTTTCACGCAAGCGCACAGGCCCATATGGGGTAGTCTTTCAAGGGAGGAGCCAGATACGTAGCACTGCATTGATTACACGCGCGGAGGTGTCGAATGACGTTTCGAGCCTTTTGGCAGAGCCAAACCATAAGATTAAGCCCGTGAGCCAGATCTCGATCCTGGCTGGGTGCTTAACAACTATCGAACGAGCAATTGAAGTGATCATATGCATACTTACGTATGCTGGACAGTTGGTAGCAAACCGAGGTAGAGAAGGGCATAAGCGAGTGAGGGTAAGTTATGAATCTGAAACTGAAGAGATACTAAGTGAGGTTTAAATTAGCAATTGAGAGCACTCTTCACACGACATATTGTGTAATAGAAACCCTTGGGAGCTAATCGACTCCCTCACCTTACGACTAATCAGGCGTCGAGGTGAGGCGTCCAAAGGCTGGCTTTGAGAGCTTGACATTGCTAGGGCGTCCACGGTCGAATTGGTCGGATAAAAGATCTTGCTCCACCTTTTCCCTGTTTGATCGTTACGGCTTAACCTCTTGCAGCAAACAGGGTGAGGGACTGCGAAACTGCAGTTTGAGAGGTAGCCTTTGGAAGTGGTTTAACTGGCGTCCATAAAACCGATATGCTGATTAATGGGAAAGCAACAAAGAATCCTTAAGAAGGTTATCTACCTACTGGCTAAGTTTCTTATGGATGGTGACTAGTTAACATTTACTGATTCATCAGTTGCGATATCTAAGGCCTGCCTGAGAGCGTAGAGTTCTCTCTCGTACGTCGAGGTGGCTACCTTCTCTGAGGGCATCCTCGCTGACATGAACTCTACGGGTCCATAGCCATTGCCGTCGTCTTGCGGCAACACGGCGCCTATACCATACTGACTCGCGTCCGTGGTGACGACAAATGGCAAAGACGAATCAGCTACTTTGAGGACAAGGTACTCTATCAATGCGCGTCTCAACTTCTTTAGCGCAGACGTACAGTCTTTGTCCCATTGCCAGATTGCCTCTTTCTTTAGCAACATGCGCAAGGGAGCGGCGATAGTAGAGAAGTTCCTCACAAACTTCCTATAGTAGTTAGCTAGGTCTAGGAACGACCGCAACTCTGTCAATGTGCGGGGCGTCGGTCAGTCTCTAATTGTCGCTATCTTGATGTTTTCTGGCTTAATGCCATCTCCGTCTAATACGTGGCCCAAGTACAAGACTTGTGTCTTGACCCACTCGCACTTCTTTGCGTTGATCTTGAAGTTAGCCTTTTTGAGCTTCTCCAAGACCTGCCTCAAATGACCCTGATGCTCCTGGAGGGTCTTGCTGAAAACTAAGATAAACTACTACAAACTTGTCTAACCACGGCCTAAACAGATCGTTCATACATCGCTGAAACGTCGCTGGGGCGTTAGTTAGTCCAAAGGGCATCACTATAAACTCATAGTGCCCATATCTAGTCCGGAATGCAGTCTTGTACTGGTCATCAGGATGGACCTCTATCTAATGGTATCCGGACTTCAAGTCTATCTTAGAGAAATACTTGCAACCCTGCACCCGATCTAAGAGATCGTCTATCCTGGGCAGTGGCTCAGCATTCTTTACTGTAATCGCATTCAAACCCCTGTAGTCTATACACATACGAAGCTCTCCTTCCTTCTTGGGGACAAACAAAACAGGTGCTCCAAAAGGAGACGAACTGGGCCTGATCCAACCTTTCTCGAGGAGTTCGTCTAACTGCTTGCGTAACTCCTCTAACTCTCTAGGGGACATCCTGTAGACTGCTCCCTTAGGAGTTCTACTGCCAGGCTCTATCTCTATCCTGTGTTGGATGGATCGCGGCACTACTCCTGTCGAAGACTCAGTCAAATCTTTGAACTCTTCCAGCAGCTTGGCAATGGCTGGATCTGTGGAAGTCACCTCTTCCTTAGCCTCAGTGACAGGTCTAACATACACTACAAAGACCTCCTCCTCTAACTTCTCCTTTTTCACTAGTTGCGCGAACGCGGGAGCACTCAGACAGTAGTGTGCCAGAGTGTTATCTGCACCTGACACATGAAACAGGCGGGCAGTCTTAACCTCGCCTGGCGGACTAGGGAGCCTACACTCATGCTCTCTTAAGTGAAGTGTGGCCCCTGCTGCCTCTCCCCAATCCATTCCCAATACTATATCGAAAGGAAGGTCATCCTGTACGAGGAGAGTCAGGGAATGGAGAACTTTCTCCACCTTCCCATCCTTCTCTAGGCGATAGTACGCCTGGACTCCCTCTACATAGTCCTCAACACGCATTGTGCGGTTGTCTGCGAGGACACTTACTATAGGGTCTGCTAACTTTTGGACTTTCAATCCTAGCCTCAACTACGGGTTGCCCCTGAGTCTATGAGGGCCCCTACTCTGCTTCTAAATACTTCTACATCTACCAAGATCAGTTGTCCTTTACTCTCCTTCTTCATTTTGGCCTAGGCTGGCATCCTCTCTTTCAACTCTTCTGCCACACTTGTGAGGGACGTGCCTAGAGAGATGCTAACACAAGCAGTCTCTGGACAACTAGCTAGGCACGGGCCTGCAACCTCTGCCATAGGCTCATATGGTTTGGGAGTTTCCTGTGTGCGCGCGCTCACTTCCCCACATGGCCTTGAAGTAGGGGCAGTTGCGACCCCTACTGGCGGCTGCCTTTTGACTGCTGGGCAGCCCAACGGGCCTGTCTATACTTAGGACAAAATTTAATAACGTGGGCCGGGTCACCACAAAACACGCACTGACCCAAGTCCAAGCGTTCCTGCCATGTACGCTGGTCCAAGCCCAAATCCTCCCAGGGCCTGCCCTGTGGCAAGCCTGGGTGCCATCCTCCTTGAGGTGCCCTTCCACCTCGTCGCTGTGGGGACCGACAAGAACCTTGACGATTTGGCGGGGGACCTTGACCCCTACCTCCCACTTGGCGGTTCCCTTGTCCGCCAACCCCCTGTGCGCCCAGTCCTCGGCCTGGCCCCTTTGGCCCTGGCCTCCTCCTCTACTTTGCAGCCTCCCTCCAGCCGCGACGGCGGCATAGGACCTCCCCTGTCCCACGCTGCTGTCCTCTTCCTCAAGGCCCCATTCGATCTGACTATACGGGACCTCATCTGTACCACCTTCCTCTAAGGTAAGGATCATATGGTCCTTGGCCCTCACTTGGCCTGAGATGGTACGGCCCTTCCACTTCTTCCCCTTGTCTAAGTCCTTATGCCAGAAAGTGGTAACTGGCATGGGCTTAGCCTCAAACAGCACCACCTCTCTACTGAGCGCATCGTACGTCATGGTGGGCTGTTGGGATTTGTCAAAGAAGTGCCCACGCAGGGGCTCGGGCATGGCACGATAAAATAACTGGACCAATTGGGTCTCAGTGACCCCATGGTCTGGGACGGCTACCAAGTCGTCCATGACGCCCTTGAGTGCCTTGGCACTCCTCCACTATCGTGAGTGGATGGTTTGGAGCTTGTCAGAGGCTCTAACGCCTCTGCGAAGATCAGCGAATCGCTCCCTGAGGAGCTTGAAGAATTGAGGGAGAGGGGTAATCTTGGAATAGGCGACCATGTTGTTTTCACAACCGGCCGCGCACTCGAGAGATCTAGCAAAACTGGCCGCTTCGTCCTTGAGGGCTTGGAAGGCTACCAGGACCTGATCATCCTGTACGATGTGCTGTAAGAAAACGTAGTTGTTTACACTAGCCTCCCAGTTGTCGAAGTTCTTGTCGGATTTCCCACCATAGGCATCGGGAAACTTGAGTTTGACTGGCTCCTTGCGAGGTCTGGCCTTGCCCTGAACAGCGGTTGCTACTTTGGCGCCCTCAATGGCACCCTCACAGAACTTCCCCACGTTTTCTCTCAACCGCCTGACTTCCCCTCCAACGTGGGTGACCATTTCGCGCGCGAATTCTCTAAATCCGGACCGCATGGCACTCAACGCTACCTCTTGGCTCCTGTTGGCCTGGCGCTCCTCCATCCATGTTGCGCTCAGCACCTCCAGGCACCCCAATACCTTATCCCATTTGGCCTTGTCGTCTGCCTGGGCCTCCACTTCCTGCCTACAATCCTTCATCTTCGCCACCTCTGCGGTCAATCTGTTAACTTCATCCCTCCGTTTCTTCTCCCTCTTCATTCTCAACTTCCACTCCACCTTTTTCTCCTCCTCTCTTTCTTGTCTTTCCAGGGGGTCATCCATTGCTGCGAGCTCCTTGGCTAACGCATCCCTTTCGTCCTGGGGCACATAGAACTCCGCCTCCTCATCTTCCCCCAACGATAAATTAGCTATCCACTTGCTAATCTTCTTCTCCAACCCTGCGTCTTCGTCCTTCTTCGTGCCACTACTCCCCTCTCTACTCTCAATACGCATCCTCTGTTTTGCTTCTTCTGCAACTGCTTCCTCTTCGGCAGCCTTTCTCCTCTCTTCCTCCTCCTGCTGAACTCTCTTCATCTGCTCCTCCAGTTTCTTCATCTTTGTTGCCTGCTCGTTTGCGATCGTCTTTAACTTCGCCTATTTTAGGAGCTCCTTCCTCTCCTTGTTCTCTCTCACTAAGGTGGCCATCTGTTCTTGCTGCTCAGGGGTGTAGGGGCTAGTACTCTTCCCACTACGAAGGTCAACCATGGTGACAAGTGCACAACCGGTTTGACGGTTCCAAACCTCACCACGTAGACTCTAACCCCTGACTGACAGACCTGCTGACTCAATCTAAGACTCACAGAATCCGGACAGGGATCCTGCCAACTAGAGTCTCTAGCCTGGACCTAACTATGGCTGTCACTACTAGACCTGTTGCTGATCAGGAGGCATTTAAGGAGATCCCCAGTAACTCCTCACGAATTATTTAACGTCGCAGACAGGACGACGTGATCAGCAGGTCTCTCAACACTTAGACGGCCTGTTGTGCAGCCCACAGCTCGGATTTTGGGCTTACCGTGCCACACCGAGCAGCCCGCCGGTCAGTACCGGTCCTTGGGAGGGTTCGTGTCCTCCGGGACAGTCGAGTCGTCAGACACAGCTTTTAGCCCTACTCAGCCCGTGTGGGTTTGGTCAACAAGGCCCTATCGTTCATCCACATAGTACTATCACCAAGGACAGAAGAGAGTCGATGCAGAAAGAAGAGACAGACTTACTGGACTCAGCAAGTACCACAGGGTGTGTGCACATCCATAGGGCGAGGGATAGGCTGAAGGCTTGGCGAGATTTTACCGGCTCCAACTTGGTCAAAGTCTTGGTCAACGCCTTGGTCAACGCTGCGGTCAACGCTGCGGTCAACGCCGGTCAACGCCAGTCAACACCTTCGGTCAACTCTCCCGGTCAACCCTTCGGTCAGCTATGGCTGCCGGCTTCTCTTTCCCTCACCAACCTCCCTCTTTGCTTCACCTTCCTCGCCTCCTTTCACCCTGCTGTCTTTTTTTTTTTTTTTTTTTTTTTTCGGCTCTCTCTTCACCTCTCGGCTATGGCTTCTCTCACTCTTCTCGGTCTCTCCCCCTCTGTCCTCTCTCACCCTCCTTCGTTACTCCGTGGTGACGCTTCGCGGCTTCGCGGCTATGGCCGCTATCTCCTTCTTCGTGGGACTGCACGGCACACTTCACAGGTACGTAACAGCCAAACTTGTATCGCTCATCTCTCTCTCTCTCTCTCTCTCTCTCTCTCTCTCTCTCTCTCTCTCTCTCT